TCCTCTCCTCCATCCCTCTCTATTATATGTCTTTTTTTAAGATGCCAAAATGGGTCATCAAGGCCATAGACAAAATCAGAAGAAATTTCCTTTGGAATGACAGTCATAGCTTCTCTAGAACTAAATGCCTAATCAATTGGGGAACAGTATGTAAGTCTAAAGTTGAAGGAGGGCTTGGGGTGATTGACATCCATTCTTTTAATTCAGCCCTCCTCTCCAAATGGCTTTGGAAAATTTTCGACAGATCATCCTTTCTTAGCAAAGTGTTTTTCTCCATTTATTCAAAAAATGGAGCAAACCCTTTTGCGCACCAACCGAAGATGTCATCTTCAAGATTTTTTCAGGATCTGTTCTCAGCTCAATCCACCTTCTTCAACATTGTCAGATGGAATGTTGGAGATGGTAATACTGGCAGTTTTTGGCATGATAAATGGTCATCAACAAACACTCTTAGCAGTCTCTTTCCCCATGCATATAAGTTAGCCTTCTCGAAAAACTGCAGCATTGGTTCGCAAGGAAGATGGTACAATAATTCATGGTTTTGGCATCCTATAATTAGAAGGGGAATTTCCCCTAATGAGAGGGCCGACATTACACATCTTCACTCTTTCTTAGAACATTTAAATCCAGCGGCTCAGCTGAGCTGGATGATTTACGGTGGCCTCTTCATGCTTCGGGCACTTTCACCGTTAAATCCTTTTACTCTTTTGTTACTTCAGGGGGTCTAAAATCCCAGTTCTTCAACTTGATTTGGAAATCCAAAATTCCCCTTAAGGTAAAAGTCAATCTCTGGATTATTTCTAAAAGGAAGTTGAATACTAGAGATGATTTGCTTTAAAAAGGTTGGAATGGTGATCCAAGATGTCCTTTTTGTCATCGGGAATCAGAATCTCACGACCACTTATTTATACATTGCTCATTTGCTCGCTATGTTTGGAACTACCTTCTCCCCCTTTTTCCAGCTAACAGCTGGCCTACAAATATAGAAGAATTGCTGATGCTACACAAAGTTCCCAACATCTGCTCGGATACTAAAGCCATATGGAAGATTCTGTTGCCATGTTTCTGTTGGTGGATCTGGTTCTGTAGAAATTCTTTAATATTCAAGGAAATCCAGCCTATCTCGCTTTCAACTGCTTCTAATATTGCGAGATTTTCAATTTTCTGGTCAGGTGCAGAAGACGATAGGACGGCGAGGAGGCTACGAAGGGCATCCCTCAATCTCGGCTTCCAGGAGCTAGCCAAGGAGAACGCCTCTTCAGTTGCCAGGGACAATCACTCGAGCAACTAGCAGCTATGTCTCAAGTCCCAACAGGATGAAAAACCTTTTGTGAAGATGCTCCCTTTTGGTTAGCTGTTCGCTGCTAGCTGCGCCTAGCATATTTCAGTCTTTTAACATAGTTCTGTTGTTGTATCAAATATTTCTCTGATATGTTGTTTAAATTTTTGGTTTTGTTGGTTTTTTCTAGTTGTAGGAAGCAGTTGATCTAGTGTGGTAGGTGACGACAATGGTCCGCTCCCTACTCACTCCTCCCACTGTTTTTTCTCCAACTAGAGACGATGTAAATTTTCTCTTATATACTTTTCTTCAATATATTTAAATGAACAGGGCACCTCATCCTGTTTCTCAGGTTCAAAAAAAAAATCTAAAATTAATATATTCCTATGATATATACAACATCAAATGATAAGAATTAATTTTCTTATTAATTTCATCACATGAATTACGGACCTGCATATTTTACTATGAAGCCTGTAAATATGGATTAATTTGTGTATCATAATTCTAATTTGACTCTTTAAAAAAAATTCCACTTAGTAAAATTCTAATTTGACTCTTTAAAAAAAAGTTGAGGATGCAGACTTGCACGCTGGAGTTCTATTTGTGCAAATAGATCTTTGTACTCTTTGCCCAAATCTGGGTAGACTAGACCCATTAGTGATTTTTTTTTTACTCTTTTAAGAGTAGTAAAAAATTTCACTTACAGGGTTCATCTGGACAAACAGAAGTATAAGGTATCAATTGAATGATAGTACCAGGAATCTATTTGCATTTGGCGCTAATTTCTAGGCATAAAGTGTTCTGATGCACTTTTAAAAAAAAATTATAACCTGGCCCGGATAATGCGCATCTTCTTATAAGAGAAGCTTGAATTTTAAGCATCTTCGTTTAATTAATTAATTAATTAATTATTGTTTATGACCCAGGCTGGATAATTCTTAAGTTGAGGTGTGCAAAGTACTCCCACACAGAAAAAGTAGCATGCATGGTAAGATTCATAATCACAACTGGAAACTCAAGGTTCGCTGCATATTCTTAGCGCACCTCCAATAGCTTTCCCATTTTATTGGTATTCTCACTTTTAAAGAAATTTGGGTTTTTTTTTTGGTCCAACAGATTCCCCATCTCATTCCCCAAAATAGGGATGGAGGAGAAAAAAATGGGAGTCTTCCCCAAATATGGGGTATTCTTTAAAGAAAAATTCCTCAAGGACTCAAAATATAGGACCAATAGGGGGGACAAGTGAGGTGTCCCCCTCCTATTGGATAATGAGTTGGTCATCATTAATGATGGCTAACTCATTATCCAATAGGAGCTGGACACCTCACTTGTCCCCCCTATTGGTTCCATATTTTGGGTCCCAGTAGCAAAGCTCAAAAAAAAAAATCTGTAATTATAAAAAAAAGCCATGGGGACAGTTCCAATGCATAAGAGCATCCCAAAATAGGGATGTAGAATATTTTTATTATTGTAATAAATACATGATTCTTTAAAATGTGAAAGCTGTTGGAGTTGGAACAAAAACAATTTAGAAAATATGATTTTTGCTTTCCTATTTTGAAGAAATTTTTAAGGAAGCTATTGGAGATGCTCTAAGGAGGAGGAAAAGCCCCAACGTTCCATTTTTTTTTTGTTTTTTTGTGGCGTCAAAAAGAGAAGGAAAATTATTGCACGCCAACACATATGAACAGGTAGTCTTCATTCGAGTTGCGCGTTATTCAAATTCATGCAGCCGCTTCGAATTCAACTGTACCTAAAGTACGTTCATTCTCCGCTTCTGTATCGATCAGCTGGTCAAGCTCAACCCACCTCCGTTGTACGTCATGGCCGATCCCTAGCTAACACATTCATGCACGCACCGCACCCGATCGAGTCCCCCACGGACATCAATGAATCGCATAAAACACCCCCCAAAAATAAATTCATGGACGGTTTCAACGGTGCATGAACGTAACGTACAGTTGCGAACGGGTAATAAATCCAATTCCATATTTGATCATGTGGTCCTCTTTAAAACAAGTGGAAGGAGCGAGGCCTCATACCGTAAAAAGGACCTTTTAGGCTGAGATATCCTCTCAAAACTTATAATTTTGGAAAAAAGAAGGGGGTGGGGGGATAAAAAATTAATTAATTTTTATTCTTCTACGTACTGATCATCATTTCAAATTATAATACTCATAATCGGGTGTTTGCCCGTGGGACTGAAAGGATTTGATTACCAAACGTTGGGGATGATGATTTCTTTTTTTTTCTTATTTAATTTTTCATTATAGCTAAACGCAACACAATAAAGATGAACGCCATTATTATTGATCTTCATCTTTCGTTAACTTTACTTTTAACCCCTCTAAGTTTAGTGGAATGAACGAGGGCCAGAGGGTTAGTTATGCGCGAAAATCCGCAAAGCTGAGGAGGTTTTAAGTGAAACTAACTCTTTTTGACTTCTTTCCCCCCAAACAACATCTACAAATACAAATTAATTTTTTTTTTTTACTGATGGAGATTGTTTATAGAAAGCTGGTGAAGGGGAAAGAACCTACACGGCTACACTCAATAATTTTCTTTTGAGCAGAGATAGAAAGAGGGAGGGGGGAGAAAGTAAAAGATACATTGAATCTGTTTTCATTTTTTAGGAGGGAGAGACGTTCAGAGACAGCCCCCTTCAACCTTTGAGGTTCTCTCTCTCTCCCATCCCCCGACTTTCCATAAATAAAATAATATTAAAAAATTACAAATTAAACACTGCCCCCCCGTATATAAAGTCCGCCCCATCTCCCTACGAAATTCTCTCGTCCCATTTCTCGATTTCTACCTCCCTTTTCTTTTTCTTTTTTGTTTTTTGGCCCAAGTTAGGGTTGCCTCCGCTACATGATAATTGGGCGCTTCAATCTTCTCATTGCCGTTTTCTTTGTTCTGTTGATCAGTGGATCATGCCGGGGCTCGTCAATTTCGGAGGTATTATCAGTTCTTGGCTTGATTGTTTAAAAAATTAAAAAAAAAGGTTTTCTTTGATTACGGTATCAATTAGTTACATTAATTTTTTAGTTAAATTATTTGATTATCAGGCCACAAGTTAGTTCCTTTTTGAGGTTTGGAGTTGTATGAGGTTCATTTGATTGATCACAGGAGTGGTCTGGGTTTTCTTTTTTGGTTTATACAATAATTAGCCCATTTTGGATTATAAATTTCGCTTGTGCAAGATTCAGTTTGAGGTATTATTTTCCCCAAATTTGTAAATTTTGCAAAAAAAAAAAAAAAAAAATTCATCTGTATCAGTTCGGTAATCAGGAGTTCCTCGTGCTACTGATCGAGTTTGAGCTGTGTATTCCCCCTCCCTAACTCTTGTAGCGAACTTTTTTTCACGGAGATCAAGTCAATTTTCAATAGTTCTAATGTTTTTGTTTCCAAGTGTTGTAAAAACTGACAGCCTCTTCATCTGGATCGGTGAAAATTTTTAAGAGTTGATTATAGTCTTGTTAATAATGTATATGTGGACCTTGTGCTGAATTAGTTTGTGAATTTTTTCTTTTCAGGAGACGATGATATCGGCCTCACGTGGCCATTCTTCTCCCCTCACAAGAGGTCGAGGTTCAGCTCTCCTTTCTCAAGAGCAAAGAAGCCTCATCAAGAACCATTCTCCCTCGACTCCCTCCCCGACGAGTGCCTCTATGAAATTCTCCGGCGACTGCCTGGGAACCGCGAGCGAAGCAACTCTGAGCAGCATTCGAGCCTCTGAGTTCTCTCTCGAAGATGATGAGTCTTTCATCTCAGCCAAGAAACACTATGAAGAAGATTATGAAGGGGAGGAGGATAAGGACATGGGTTTCCTCACTAGATCCTTTGAGGGAAGAGAAGCGACTGATGTCAGGGTTTCTGCTACCGCCGTCGGCACTGCTGGCCGTGGCGGCCTCGGCAAGCTCTCCATCAGAGGGACCCACCGGACTCGAGGGCTCACTGATATCGGGCTTTCCTCTGTTGGTCGATGCTGCCCTTCTCTTAACGTGTTATCACTGTGGAAGGTCCCTCGTGTTTCTGATGAAGGTCTGGCTGAGATTGCCAATGGATGTCCAATGCTAGAAAAGCTCGATCTTTGCGATTGCCCACTTATTACTAGCAAGGGCTTGCTTGTCGTTGCAGAGAAATGCCCTAATCTGATGTCTCTTCAACTGGATTCTTGCACTGGTATTGGCGATGAATGTCTCCAGAATATCGGTCGTTATTGCCCTAATCTACAGTCTGTTTCCATCAAAGACTGCCCTCTTGTTGGTGATGAAGGAATTGCGGGCATGATGTGTTCTACCTCTTCTTCCTTGGCCAAGCTAAGGCTTGAGAAGTTGAATGTCGGTGACTTTGCTCTTGCTTGTATTGGGCATTATGGGAGGTCAATTATGGAGCTGCATCTTACTGGACTTCAGAATGTGGCTGAAAGGGGATTCTGGTGCTTGGGCAATGCAAAGGGATTACTGAAGTTGAGATCTATTGTTACAACCTCTTGTCGAGGGGTTACTGATAGAGGGCTGGAAGCTGTGGCAAAGGGCTGCCCAAATCTGAACCAGCTATCCATTCACAAGTGTTGCTTTATCTCTGATAATGGCTTGAAGCGTTTCATCGAGGCTTCTAGGGAACTTGAGAAATTGCAACTTGAAGAATGTCATAGGATTACGCTAGTTGGTGTTCTTGCTGTTCTTGTCAAATGCAATGCTAAGCTCAGAAAACTCGCCTTGGTCAGGTGTTTGGGAATCAGAGACATCCAATATTACCCAGATGTTCTTCCTCTATGCAAGTCGCTTCAATCCATCAGAATTCGTGACTGCCCAGGATTCACTAGCATGAGCTTGGCTCTTGTTGGTAAGATCTGCCCTAGTTTGAGACGCTTGGATATAAGTGGTCTTGTCACTGTAACAGATGCTGGGCTTCTACCGGTGATTCAGAGCTCCGAGAATGGACTGATTAAAGTCAAATTGAGAGGCTGTGCTAATCTAACTGATACATCCATATGCGCGCTTGTGAAGGAACATGGCGACACTCTCAGGCTACTCAATTTCGATGGCTGCAACAAAATCACTGATAAAGTTTTATTAACAATCTCAGAGCAATGCACTATGCTTGAGGAGCTCTACATGTCAAATGCTGATGTCACTGATTATGGTGTTGCTCTCTTAGCGTCTGCGAGGCAGCTCAATCTTTATGCTCTTTCCTTTTCTGGTTGCTCAAAGGTGACAACCCGAAGCCTGCCATTCTTTGGTAACATGGGAAGGACATTGGTTGGTTTGAATCTTCAACACTGCGCTCTTATTCAAGCTCATGGTGTCTCTCTGCTCGAAGAGAGAATGTGGTGGTGTGATATCCTCTCCTAACTTTTTTCCCCATTCAGGACATCTGTCAGTTTTCTGGGATCCTTGGCCATAGCGAGTTTTTGCAGGTTTCTCCAGTGAGGGGAGATCTGTTCGACTTCTTCTCGCTTTGGTCATATGGTTCTTGAGATGACAACATATACTGAGTCCTGGAGAGGTATCAGTTTTATTTTCAGTTTCTGGTCTGTGGTCTTTGTATCTTTTCATTCAGGACGCCTGTCAGGTTTTGGGATCCTTAGCCATAGTGAGTTCTCGCAGGATTCTCCGATGAGGGGAGATCTGTTTTTGAGTTTTTGCCTGTGCCATTGATTTGGCGAGCTTCTTCTCGCTTTGGCCATTAGGGTTTCTTGAGATAAAAACATATTGACTCCCTGGATTGGTGGCAGCTTGTTTTCAGTTTATGGTCCGTGTTAGTTGTGTGAGGTTGCTTTTGCGCAGTTCATTCCGGATGCTGGGATCTGTAGGGTTTTGGTTATGGCAGCAGATGCCATTGACGGCTGTTTTGGCTGTTTTTTTTAGACCTTGACCTTGATTTTGCATGGCTAATGTTATGGACTGTAACCTTTGTAACCTTGCTCATGTTAACGAAGCATGTACTTGTTTGTTATATGTAGCATTATATGTTATTGTGGATCTTTGGTTCATAATGTTGTACTATTGTGGTTATTTTGTGGGAGAAATTTTTTGAAAGACCTTTTTTTAAAAATAATTAGCAAAAATTATCATTTTGCTAAACAATAAGCAAAATCGACCTCTTTTTTGTCAGTGCAATCAAAACTGAAAAAAGAGGTTTATTTTCGTAAAATATTGTCTTCAAAATACATGAGATTAATAGTCCCCTGTAATTAACAATTGCTAATGTTCAATTTTAATTAGCAATTGCTAATATCCAATTCGTTTAAGGCAGAAAATACACAGGACTACTGGTATCTTGTATTTTGTACAGAGACATCCAACAAAATAGGGGACTAATAGTCATGTGTATATTTTGTACATGCATAAAACATTCATGCATGTTCATAGCTTGTCTCCTGTGTCATATCCTGTGCGTATAAAATATCCAATTCACCTCGTGTACATATCTAAGCATATAAATTTCATAAATGCATAACTTCATGCACATCAAAACATATAAATACTTATTCTTTCCCATGGGCAAACAAACCAAAAGATCACAACAAAATACAATTGATAGACACGTTGGTGACAACACATTATCTCCATACACCAAACATCACAACAAAACTATGTATATTATGTCCTTTGGTTTATAAATAACATATTTCGATAACTCAAATATAGTTGACAAAAAAATCCATACATCAATCACATAAAACCTAGAAGCCCTCCTGGTCCCCTTTGTCTCCCTCTTCTTACCTGAGCGGATCGTCGTCGTCCTCCACGAAGTTGAGTTTGCACGAGCTCGTTGTATGGTTGCGTGTGTGCTTGTTACATACCGCCAACATGTTGCGAAGGTCCAGTTCTATTGTTGTTCTTGCAATATCCTTCTTGTATCCGTTGATTTGGTCGGCGGGCGCATAACACATCCTCCTCCACCATCACATCTCGACTATCATATCACATCTCGACTATCATGAAGATCCTCATGAGTTCGACTCAAAGCTCTATGAACCCTCCGTACTATCCGTTGATATAGAGATGCATGTACTCTTATCTGTATCTTTGACAAAAAGTGCTACCCTCATTTGCAATAGCTCAATATTACCAACAACATTTATCTGTAATTAAGTTAACAAGTTACATAGATAAACATTTTGTAGTAATATGAAACAAGTGGACTAGATAGTACTTAACTTAAAATTTCTCTCAAATCTAAACCTATGGGCACATCTCTGTTGTAAGCACGTTGGTCAATATTGAGTGGAGTTGTGGTCACATTTATTATTAATCTTCTACTAGCCCCATGTATTTAGTTGACAAAATTGTCGTTGTTTCCGTAAATCCCATATATTTTGTTGCCAAACCATCAGACTCTTTGTTATATACACGGGGCTATTAGTCATGTTTATAGTATAAGAATCAAATTAACTTTAATTAAAGGCCACTAATTCCATGTATTTTAAAGATAATTTTTTACACAGTAGACCTCTTTTTGGCATGTCATCAACTAGTTCTTTCAACACTGATAATTATTCTCAGCTACTTAACTAATCATGATGGTGCGTTCACAAGTTCTTTCAACACTAATAATTATTCTCAGCTACTTAACTAATCACGATGGTGCAGGCATTTATATTTGACATTGTTGGCACCTCCAGATATTTTAATATTTGATGTTTTCTTCTATTTCACTTCTTCAATTTGTCATACTTTTTCTGGCTCACCCACATGAGAACCGTTCAATCTAATCCGACGAGAATCTAAAGACAATCAATACCATCAGGATTGCATTGAGATTTGCTTGTAGACTCATAGTGCTTGGATTTAGGCTTAAAAAGAAGCAGGATGAATACAGATTGAAGCTTCTCAGAGAACAAATAGAGAAGAAATCACTTCACATTTGAAATAATCTCAATCCATCCTATTCTCACAAGAAAAGCCTTATCCCCCATCTCACAGGAATTCTAGATTACCACAAGATCATAATTAGCCGCCATGAGGGATTGAAGCAAGGTTGTGAATTAGAACACAAGCCTATTTTCTCGCAATGATAAATTTTATACAAAGCATAAACAAACGCGCTTCATATTATAGTTACATCCAGAGCCAGTGTAGGTTTCCTATGATAGATTACAAGACATAATTACATAAAACATACACTAGAGGATCACTGAGAAGGAAGTGACACAAGACATGCACTAGAGGGATCATTGAGAGGGAAGTGCCAAGATATCCATGCATATCTCCACAACTTCAGCAGGCAAAAGCATCCTTCAAGGCTGAGATTTGAATGTGCATACTGTACACTTCTTCATGTACAACGTACATCCATTTGCAACACACACCAAAAATTTCGAAGTCAGCAAGTTGCCGTCCTGGTAAGAGATGGCCTAGCACCTCCTTCCGTTGGTTTCCAGATGACGTGGTCCAGTTTACTGCATAAAGTTTTATAGAACTGCATACATAGAGACCAAAATGACATTATCTGGTCAGCGATGTCATGTAAGGGATCGTTTGAGATTTTGATCTGAAAAGAGGGGCTTGTTCCCTATCTGTTTCCGTCACAAAATCCAACAAACAAATTCGCTGTTTGTTTGCATAGATCTTGCATTGGAAAAAGCAGCCACCTCAGCTTATTCTCCTTCGGAAGTCCTGCCAAAATTGAAAGATTTTGGAGGCTTTTGTGGAGGGTAGCTACCGCACAAAAGTACAGAATAAATAATAAAAAATCTATAAAAATTCAAAAAATCTTAAGAGAAATCAAAAAAAAAAAAAAGACGCCAACAAATCTTATTTTAAATACAACTTCAATCATGATTCATGAGTGAGGCGCACAAATCTTTTTTCAACCTTACCACTTTCTTTTCAGACAAACAAACAAGAACTTTGGGGGTCTCTTTTCAAAACAAACCAACTTTCCACTCTACTTTCTTACAAACCAAGCAAAATTTGAAAATTGAAAAGTCATAGATGCCTTGGATTTGTGACACTGTCATAAATCCAAAATACAACCACCCCTAAACTTCTCCTTCTTGGAAGATGAAAACAAGAATGTAAAATAGTAGCAATTAAACCAAAGATATTAAAACTGAAAGCATTAGATAGTTCATGTAGTTAAATATCGAGAGCTAACCTTGTGATATTCCAGAGTTTCACCAGCAGCCTTCCGGACATCAACCATGAAGAGAGCTGGAGCAACTTCGAAAACCTGCCCATAAGCAGTTACTTTTTAAGAAGAGCACAACCGGATGAAGGTTTTAAGGTAGAATGAGAAATTACACAGTACACACAAGGGAAGCTACCTCTATAACCACCGCAAATGGACCCATTTTATTTGAGGACCCTCCTTCAATCCTAATCTACAGAAAATGATCAATGTCCAACTTAGAAAATAAGATTACTGGCAATTAAATACATATGAGAATGCAGTCTGAAATATTTGTAGTATATACTACACAAATTAGCAATACTTGTTGGCGGCATTTATTCTAGAATATAGAGTAGTGACAACTAGACTACTACAAATCCTCAACTACTTTTATATTATAAGAAGATAAAGCATGAGGCCCTCGAACACAAATTATGATAATATTTCACAAGCAGGGATATACACTTATATTTCTTGTACAAAAGTAGTTTAGAATTTGTACAATAGATAGTATTATCCTAAGGGTAGACTTTATGAAATAATGAAGTTTCGCTATATTCTCGGAGAATTACCATAGACTTTATTTACTCCCAAGACAAGAAAATTCATGATATTTTTCATGATAATCTGTGACAGTTTGAGGGAATAAAGCGGAGTAAGTGGTCAAGAGACTAATTTACTTGCATACTTCTTGCCGCATAAAAGTAAGACTACAAAATTCACAGTAGTTTTTGAGAAAAAGGTGAATTTTGATGGTAGGTTTTGAAACTTGCCGCTATTATAATAATCCAAGGGCAAGAGATATGTAACTAATCTAGCAAACAATTTCACAATAGGAATTAAAGGTCACAGTGCTGAGAGGTGCAGATCAAGCTGACAAAAGATGCACAAAAAGATATATGCTATAAACATTACACATGATTAATAGATTGGCTGAATTGATGACCTAATGTGCGTCACGAGTAAAACTATAAGCTATTTGAAACATAAAAAAGCTCTACCAGTTTATGGCCACTGAACAATATTCCATTTACAGAAATGTACACCCATTCCTTTAGCTTTTTCGACATGAAGTAAATATCTCAAGCTGCAAAACCTTAAGAGGAATGAAGTTTATGGCCGCTGAACGATATTCCATTTACAGAAATGTAAACTCATTTTCGAGAATAAACATCTCAAGCTGCAAAACCCCAGAGAGGAATAAAGTTCATGCCTTCCCATCAGTTCCTGCTTACCTCATGACGACTTTCACATTCACGGCACTCTTCCCCTTTCATGTTTAGCTTACTAGAATTAACTGAGACCCAAATGCTAGAGATACAAAATGTTTACAGAGTCATCTCATTTTTCCATGTCAGGATTGCAAGTCAGTCGGCTTTTTCTTACAATCAACTCTGCAAATGATTACCTTGTAAATGACACCCCGCACCTTTTCTATCATTTTAGCCCTATGCATCTAGACTTCTCAATTAATGAAGATAACCAGCATGTATATACCCAAGCCACTCATTGCTTGTAATTACCTCAACATTGCACAGAGTTGCACTCAACTCAGAAGAATTGTACATAATACATAAAAGATATACTAGATAATTGAAGGACATGGTCATAGTTTCAAAAACTAAATGATCCGGGATCAGACACAAAGATGCATTATCATGATTCATGCCCCATAGGAAAAGATGAAGCAACTAACAACATCAAAGCACCACAGTAATTTCAGACGGCAAGACGTACTTGACCCTGGATCTCATGTGGGATCCTCCTAATGACTTGACCCTCTTAAGTCAAGGATCCAAATGGTTATGGATGTGAGATCCACAAGGATATCGCTGCAATGGAATATCCCCTTAGCATGAAATAATAGCTATAGTTTCGGTGGAAGAACAAGTCCCAACACTCGTATGTTTCCATCAAGTTTGAGGACCAATTTGAAGGAACAAACGGCTGAACAAGGTGTGCTTGCCTCCATGATGCAAGAGTTTCTCATTAGCCAGTATCATAAGCTAACGGCAGCTATGTATAATGTAGAGTAGGCTTCATGAAATCATGCCATCATTTTCAATTTCAGTGGAAGGTTTTGATTTGATGTGGTTGTTACTATTGTTTTCAATGTGTTCTACTAGAGGATAAAACCCTATATTGACTATTCAATACAGATCTAAAAAGCTATCTTTACTGAGGCACCATCACTTTTTGAGTGCATATGCTCATATAATATAGGTTATCAGACTTAACTTCTCAAAGGGGGTACAAGACATGGACCTCTTGCAGCAGCCTAATTACTCACCCTAACTTTCCTAGTTTCTTCACCATGTTTTGCACTGCTGCCTCTCCTCTTTTGAATTTAATTCGTTGTGCAGAAGAACTATGTTTTACTACTGAAAATAGTAAAAATATCAAATATATGATGTAATATTTTGTGAAAGATATTACCTTGTAATTTCTGGATTGAACCTTAAGAGCCATGGTTACAGCCACTTCTTGAATAGCTGCAACAATTTTCCTTGCTGGGTAGCGAGAAACAAAACGAGTTTGACGTTTCACATAATCCTGAGGGAAAAGAAAGCAAATAATAGATTTGTTTCCAGAATTAAGTAAAAGGTGACAACTATTTATTAATGTAAAAAAATGAAAAATAAAGTAGACAGTACACAACTGCAAAAAATGTCAAGCTCTCAAAGTTAAAATTTTGAATTGATACTAATTTATAAGCATATGGGTTGCATATGGAAGAATTTCCAAGGCATGACTTATTTCAATAAGATTAGCATGCGCTAACATTTGTCTCATTTGGATGCTTGAAATAAAAACTCTAGAAGTCACTTCCAATACACCAAAACTTCAATGTTATGGTATGAAGTGTTGGTCATGGAACACCAGGTAGGGCGCTACTCAAAACCTCGTTGATCAATAACAGATGGAACTTCCCGCTAACCTCAAAAAAAAAAAAGAGAAAAAAAGAAAGAAGAATAAATAATAAATAATAAATACTAAAAATACAATCATTATTAATTGTTGATCATATAGCATTAAGTGGTTAGGATAAGTCCTAATGCTTAAGTAGAGATCTGGGAACATCCCTCCAAACGGTTAAAGTTCAATAATAGAAATCTAGATATATGAGTACATTCCCCTATTGGTATTCTCATAATTTTGTACTATTCTGCAACTATTACATACAATGTTCTTCGTGCTTCCCTAGTAAACTAGAACAAAATCCTCCTATTACAAAATCCTCCTATTTTCCAAAGAGAAAAAGTACTGAAACAGAATTCTCTGATCATGTCACCAGAACTAAAGTTGATTCTTTAATTCTAATGTCAATTTCCAAATATATGTACAATGCATCAATACACTTATCTAGTCCTATTCTAGATTCATGGCCCACGAAATAGTTTAATTGGTTTTCTAAGTATTGAAGTTTAATGGGAAACGACATATACCTGGCGTCTGTCAAATAAAGCTGAAAGATTCAACCCTTGAGATAAGGTGATCATTTCAAAAGCATTCATTATGAGAGGACCTCTACCAGCACCCTCGACCTTCTCAGACACATATTGCTCCTGCAAAATGGACAATGAGAGCTTGGTAAAGAGCCTTAAATGCTTTTATTTATTATAAATAGCAAATGAGAGAACTCATGGTCATCAGGTAAATCTGATGCTAAGTAGTAAAGCACAGTATAGTATGAAATAACAAAAAGCTTTTACAAACCTCAATGTCATCGAAAACAGCATTAACATCATTCAAGTCAACCTTTTCCTCATCACCATGTCTCACAGCAACATAATTTCTCCTGAACCATGCATCATTTTTTATTCCTTCAATGGTTATGCGCTGCATTAAGATGCAAATAATTCATAGCAATGTAACTTCAGATTTCATTAGTTAAGACAATATCAGACAAAGACATAAAATCACCATGTACAAGGAATCATATTATCCCATCCAAGTTCACTATATAAACCTAGTCACTGCGATATATATACAGTAGAATACTATGTTACCTGTGTACTTCTAATCTGAAGCCATACCCCTCCCTAGCACATACCCTTACCTGTACCCATACCCAAACTCCTTGGACACTCCTTAAGTAAATGCATACATTTATTCAGGCATGTACACAACTGTAAAATACATGTTTCAATTTACAACACTTGTCGTGCATTTTTTGCACATATATCCTACACTCCAGACACACTTCTTGAAACTCGTAGGACATAGATAGGTTCCCAATTATGATTAGGTAGGTTCCGAATTATGATTATGAAGGGTTGTTTTGATGTCTAGTTCAAAAACTAGTGATTTTCCAATTTACAATCCACATAATAAAAGAAACATAAAACTGACATAGTACTTTTAATTCTCATCTTTGTTCTCATATAAATTATTAATTTCAATATAATATGTGTATATAAATATTTGTATATAAATATTTGTATAGCCATATCCCCACACCCTACCTTTTACAAATTTACCAATATAATATGTATATAAATATTTGCATAGCCATATCCTCGTACCCAACCTTTTACAAATTTACCATGTCCTGCACCTGCACCCGTACCCGTAACCATACCCATGAAACATAGATAGGTTACAACGATTATACGGTTTGACACATTTCACATGCCTCCACATTACCTAGGCTTATCAATGAATCTGGAAGCCATGCAATGAACCTGGTCAACACTACGCAGTTGGTCATAGTAAAAAAGCATGTTTGGCAAATGGCCAAAGTGACGGTGACTTATAAGCCACTTTGAGATGTTTGGCAAATGGCTTATTTGGCTTATAATCCACACAAAAATAAGCTAGGTTATCCTAGCTTATTTTTGTGTCTTAAAAAGCATGAAGTTTGACCAAATAAAAGACAATTATGTCTATTATGATTTCACTAAATCCAATGTCTTATTTAATAATTCATCACCATCCCTATATCCCCTTTGGTCATTTTGACAACAATAATGGATTATAATCCACTCGTTTACCAAACACTCTACTGTTGAAAATGGATTATAATCCTAGACTTACCAAACACTCTTTAGATTATAATCTAGATAAATTATAAACCAAAGTTCCCAATCATGCTCAAAGTCTTATCTTAGTTTAAATATTCAAACACCAATTATCCTCAGGTAAGTAAAGACCCTTATATGGTATATTAGCATATTAATTAGTAAATGAAGTCCTCATATAGTCCTATATAAGAAGAGGGCCAAAGCATGGTTTTATCAACATTCAATGGTATTACACTTGCCTCCCTTTTCCCCTAGGGCTAACTAGTTTTTTGGAAAAAACCAAGGTTACCCGGACAATTCATCTAAACACTTGTGTCCATATCCGACACTTTCCGTATTGTCCATGTCCAATACTCCTTCGATACTTCTTGAATATATATATATATACATTTATTCAAACATGTTCTCAACTATATAAAACATGTTTTAGTTTAAAAACTTACGACACACTTTTTGGACGTATATTGTACACTTCACCTCAAATTTATGCAGCTCGTTGGACTCGGACTGCTTTGCTTCCACACATACCTAGTTCATAAATATGATTTTAAGGGGTCATTTGATGAGCGTTTTTCAAATTATAATCTACTCACTAAAAGAAATATAAAAATGGTATGAGGATTTTAGTTCTCACACCATGGAATGGAAAACAATATTGATGTCATATAGATTATTAATTTTAATATGTACGTATATAGTTGTGTCCCATATCCTACTTTTTACAATTTTTCCGTACCCCATATCTGGACCTGTGTCCGCACCCGCACCCTGTATTGTCAATGCACGAGACACAATGAAGGGCTTAAAGTATCTTTACGTGCATATGCACAAGGCATAACGCGATGTGCGTGCTCCAGTGATGCAAGGCGCAACACATAATTTTTCAAGATAGATAATCAAGCACGAAAGAACATATATAGGAAATTCACATAAAGAGATATCTCAGGATAAATAATATATTACTACCAAATCACAATATAAGGTCTTAATTTCTAATGCTAACACATCCAACATAGTAGCAAAGCCTATAATTTTTCAAATCAAATTTCAAATCAAGACTAATATCCTAGCAAAATCAAATAGTAAACAAGTGTTAGTTAGGGTCCTCAATTGAATGCTATAAAAAATGACTAATAGATATATTTTGCTTTTTGGAATATGGATTATCATGTATAAAAACTCAATTGAAATGTCAACGAACAAAAATATACAAGGCTATGTACTACATGCACAAGGCACAAAGTCAGGATGCTTGCCAAGCGTAAAAGGCGTTGCTACATTAGATGCAGGGCGCTTCACCACTGCCCCACATCATAGGCGCATGAGGTGCAGTGAGGCGCGCGCCTTTGAAAACACTGCCCACACCTGCACCCGTGCAACATAGAAAAAGCATTACTCAGTTATGCACGTGTAAACATGACCACCACTATTTGGCAACGACAATATGAAGTTTGCTTCACCAATAGATACATATGTAGCTTCATTACTTAAAATTGTAGAGAGTATCCACTGTAAGTTTAACAAAAATATAAAAGTACACTAAGTAAAAAAAGGCACTTATTTATTACACGTAACTACCATGCCTGACCATTTCCAATTTTAAAAGAAAAAAATAGCGCAACAAATAATTCCTAACTGCGTTAACGCAAGTTCTTTTGGATAAATTTACAATAGATAAAAATAGAAGTGGTCAACTCTCTTAAAGCTAGTTGATAAAAGCTCAGCCAGAGACAATTGCCAATCATATTCCTCTTGGTTTAGGTCCTTATATCATCTATGAGTTTTTTTAAACATACACCTACCCTAGGTTACCTGGGCACTTCATCTACGAGTTATTTTTATCCATATATTGTTAGAACTTGAAAAATATTATGAAGATAAAATCTCGGATTAACAACTATTTGGGAAATGGGAGATAAAATAGCAATCACGATAGTTTCGGGATATTTTAAAAATTCCTAATGACGGTATATACATTAAAAATAGCATTATTTAAATGTTGAAGGGAGAATAAAGTTAAGATTGAGCAAAATGAGGAATAAGTTAATGGCCCCTAGCCTCTTTACTGCAAAATTTCAGGCTAAAATTCTTATACTCACAGCTTTTGGGTTAGGATCAAGTATTCTGCGTATCAATGATTTCACACCATCGGAGAACCATAACGGGCAAGAAAATTCAGCTGCACTGATCTACAAGGATTGAGCTAAGATTAGTTCAAGACCAACATAATATGAAAATAGAGATCTTAGACTACAAAATGTACTACGAATTTACCATGATAGATGCATTCATAAGTTGACAAGAAAAGAAATAAATGTAGACCAGACAAAAGAGCAGAGGTCAATCTGTTTGTATAGTAAATAAAATAAACATTTTTCTTGTTAAGAAAAAACTTTAAATTGGAATAAGTAAGGTCATATGAAGCAAGATTCATGATATATGTATATGTTTTCACGAACTTAGACGACTTTCAGCAAATACCAAGTTTAGCTTCTTGCTTCCAAAATTCTGGACTCTTACAGTGCAAAAATTTGATGTACTTCAGACCCTCCACGCACCATTTCCATTTTTAGACTCATGAACACCTCTCAAACATTTAAATTCACAAGAAGTCTGATAGCATTCTTCAGTCTGACCATTTTTCACTTGCACCTGAGATATCACTAACGAGTAACAAGTGATATAAAGTTGTAAAAGACATACTTAATAAGAGAACTATGAGTAAGATCAACAGGACTCCCTCACGTATCTTACATACAATGTAAAACACAAGTGTGAGGAGAAGGCGTGAAAACTGGAAAGATGGACTGTACATGGATGATGAGTTAGGAGCTTTGCCTTTTATATAGTCATGGATAAGATGCAAAAGATGTTGAAAAAATAATCTCGATATGATCACAATGAAAAAAATCACCGAACATGTTGGCTATGACACTCATAAGAAATCTCATAGCATTCTTTAGTCTGACCACTTGTTACTTGCACCTGAGTAATCATTAACAAGTTGACTATGAAAAATAGACACCAATACTACAATTCTTTCCACATACAGAATAATGAATACCTTTCAAACATCTAAGCTCATAAGAAGTCTGGAAGCATTCTTTAGCCTGGCCTTTTGTTACTTGCACCAGAGTGATCAGGAACAAGTGATCTAAAATGCCAGAATGATCAGTAACAAGTGACGTGAAATTGCAGTGGATCCACTCTCAATAAGAGAATCATAGGTAAGATCAGCTGGACTCCGTCACAGATATGGTGTACAACGGAACCACACGAGTATGAGAAGGGGTGAAAACTGGAATGACGGAATGTACATGGATGATGAGTAAAGAGCTTTTACTGTTTAGTTATAGATAAGATGCATAGATATTGAAAAAAAATTAAAGGTATGATCACAATGAAAAGAAAACCACCAAACATGTTGGCTTTGACGCTTGAGGTACTAGACTAACAATGCATACTATGAGTAATAGACTTGTATGTACAGGCTGAGATACATATCATCACACAAGGTTGCCTCTCTGTTGTTACTCTCACTACCTTTATCATCTTGCTTCAAGGAAACATTTAGAATGATCTTTTTTCCTTTAGTCTTTTTTGCTTTTCAAATACCTGGAGTTTTAACTCATAGAACATGTGTACACAAATAATATCTTGATATGAAGCAGTCTAAGTCCCTCTTTCTCTCTTTCTTGATACAAAGCAGCCTAGTCCCTCTCTCTTTCTATGCACACTTGTGCATGCGTACTTCCATACATCATGCACACATGTTCCACATATCCCTTTATGCAGCATATAATCCATTTACTTAATGGGGGCAAAGAGAAATAGACATAGGCCAAAGAGAAGTTGGTTAGGAGCAATTAGAAGGATACAGTACTAGTTAACTACTTAACTTAACATAGGAGGTGGTCCTTTACAGAATTAAATGGAAGAATACAATGCTTGTAGCTGACCCAAAAAATTTGAGGTAAAGGCTTATTTGTTGTACTGTATAATCCCTTATGCATCATCCATCGCATGCATGCTATGAGTCTTACCAAATTGAAGACTATTAGGGATTCCTTTGTGTATCAAATACGTACCATTAGCCACAGCAAAAATAGTGGTTCCCTTATGTATACAATACATACTATTAGCCGTAAAAAAATAGTGGTTCCCTTATGTATCAAATACATATATAGTCTACGTGACTCATTTATGAAGCATATAATCCATTTGTTCTGTGCTCCTGAATGTACGCATAATATGTACATGATTTAGACCATTAAAGATCAATCACAGTAAATATAGTGGTCACTCCATCCTCTTTCTCTCTCTACACACATATACTGTGTGGGTGTGTGCGTGAGAGTGTGCGCATGTGTGGTTATGTGTGGAGGGTGTGGGGGTGGTGGGCAGGTCAATGATGAGAAATGACAATGGAAGGATGATGGGGCTCTTCAGAGACATTTGATATTATTTATTTTCTGTTTGCGCTTTGCAGAAGAGAGGGATGTGGATGTAAATGAAAGGATAGATGGATAACAAAACCAAGATGGGTTTGGATAGGCTGGTTTCACATACAACACTTAAGTCCCTTGGCTTTTCACCATGACAAATCACAAGCCAAGCAATTCACAAGCTCAAGAGAAAAAGCAAGTGGCATGCTTACAAATCTTCAAAACTTATAACTTCATTTATCAAGGTTTATTTCTCAAAGAAAGAATACCAGCTACTTATGAAGAAACCTAACAGTAAAAACAAATCTCAATCCTAACAACAAATCACAACTGAAAAAACAGAAAATAAACTACCTAACTAAATAACTAAATTAAGATATCAAGTAGACAAACTGTATTATTTTAATCCTGTCTGAAACATCTCGACTAAAAGAAATCAAATCCTTAAAAAATAACTGTAACTAATCTAATAACCACCATATATGTGATGTGCTACCCAATCGTATGCACAACACATGTTTTACAACATTGAACACTAATAAGTAATAACCACTTCAAAGATGGATTTCTATGTATGATAACGATCTTTGTTTTTTTAGAGGAATACAAGATATTCTCCTGTGTATACATTTTCACATGATAACCTATGCAAAACTTCACAAAACAATAGTTTGAGCTTGAGACCAGAACAACCTTCTCCAAATGATATATACTCTTTTTATCAATGAGAAAGTAAGGCATGTTCTTTCACAGAAATTTTATGTGAAACTCAGAAGGTACCTTTTTAGGATGTTCTGCATAGTTTTCATGAAAATATTAAAGACAACAAGTTCCATTTACAAGTCAACATACTTCACATTCACCCATGCTAATAATGAAGCTCCTTTGATTTTATCAAGGATAATTCACAGATTAAACTGGTATTAACAATATGCTCTCAGGTCACCTAAACTATTCATAGAAACCAGACATGAACGCAAAGTCACCTATACTGGTGAGGTTGATCTTATGCTTCAGGTATAATCATGGCAAGCACTATGTACTATATAGAAATGTGATGTTCTGAATGTAGTAAAATGATTTCATGACTACCTTCTTGTACAATGTTGAGAAGTCGCACTCTTCGAAAGGGAGGTATCCAGCCATTAGAACATAAAGTATAACTCCACACGACCATACATCTGCTGCAGATCCATCATAGCCTTCATTGCTGAGTACCTAAAATGGCAGGCAATTAGTTTTAGCCTTTTTTTCAATAATACCGTAGTTTAAAAAGGCAAAGGTGAAATGAACAAGTGCTAATTACCAAACATAATCTTAGATGACATATATTGCATGACACCTTGTCAAGATCTACGTAACAAAAAGGACTAGTCTTTAGACAATAGCATATCTTATAAACACACTAATCAGTAGCATGACTTGTGAACAGACCAATCGCTAGCATTTTTTGTAAAAAGACCAATCAATCGCATCAATTACAAAAGACCACCAAACTAACATCATTTTTTAAAACCGTGCATCCCTGAGCTCCATTCTAATTGTTAGTGCTTCAGAATTTTCAGGATATTGTCATGAAGGGACAGGGAATTTCTTAATGCATATATCATCTTCCAACAAACCAATACTACAAAAGTAAGAAATTTTTTTATCGGTACAAATTAAAAGACACTATTACAAGCAAATTTATTTTACGCACAGGCGCCATTCATAATTAAATAAGCAATGTACTTTAATAACACCAATTATCCAGATAGTTACTAGCATAAACCCATCCTTGGTAGCATATTCTCTATGCTTCTAGTCAATATTAAACAATAACAATAAGCCGCCAGTGAGGCCCAGCATACTGTAAAGCACATGCGCGCCGGTGGGGGGTTGGTTTAGGTGATGGGAGGTGCTTAGTTTAAGACCACATTACAGTCTCTATTCAAAATAACAACAAGAAAAGAAAGGAGAAAAGAAAAATCTTCTCCACAATTGGAAGCACTCAACCCAACCTTTGCTTATCTACCCCCTCATTAATGAAAATGGTTCACTCATTCCTGATGATTTAAGCATAATTAATAGATGGGATAAACCTATCGATTTATACACAAGTATACAACAGGTTTCCTTAATTCCAAGGATGGCTGATCCAAGACTACCATGAAAGAACTTTCAGGTACGGATACTCAAGTGTTATAATGATTTTCACAAACTCAAAGGCAGTGCTGTAGCCACATGTTTCCCAGAAATTTAGGGAAGCTTAGATTTAAAAATGTAAGAAAAGATAGGCGCAGGGAAAATACAAAAAAAATTAGAAACTTTATTATTAGGGATCATGGCCCCTCTCTCAAATTCTCATTTCTCATCTCACCAGCAGAACACAAAAGCAACACAAACACAAAGTTTATCCTATGTTGTCAACCATGATCACCAATACAAAATACAGAAAGAAGATGTTGGCACATCATGTTAAAGACAAGGCAAATAAAACAATTTTTGAGAACTAGGACAAAGATGTGGTATTGACATGGCAATACACTCGCATACATACTTAAAGTTATATTATATATCTAGATATATATACATATACATGAACAGTGACTCACACACAGAGACATATACATACTTCAAGTAATATATATTATAACAGCACGCGCGCGCATCAGTAGAGATACAAAAAGATATAGCTAAAAAGATGATTTCAAGTGCTATAATATCACGTTGCTAAAGAGTACCTCTGGAGCAAGATAATTTGGGGTGCCACATGTTGTATGAAGAAGCCCAACTCCCTACAACCAAAACTAGTAAAATTCTGAAGTATTGAAGTGACAAGCTTTACTTCATGCAGTAGAGAAATCAATTTAGCTTACTTGCTGCTGTAGAGCACTCAGGCCAAAATCTGAAATTTTTAGCTTTCCTTGGGAATCAAGGAGAAGATTCTCAGGCTACACATGTAACATAACCTTCAGTGTCACAATAAATATGTTGGCAGAAGGAATTGTACCAATTAAAAATAAAATACTTCAGACCTTTAAATCTCTGTGGTAAACACCTTTACTATGGCAATAATCAACTGCATCAATTAGCTGCTGAAAATAACGCCTTGATTCATTCTCCCAGAGTTTTCCTTGGTGAACCTACAGAGGAGGAAACATGTGAATAAAAATCAGGATCAACATCAGCACTTGAGAGAGAGAGAGAGAGAGAGAGAGAGAGAGAGAGAGAGAGCAGAATACAGGAATGCATGCTCGGTTTCACAAGTCATCAAACATATTTATACAACAAGATGGAAGCAAACTTACTATTTTATCAAATAGTTCTCCTCCCATTATGAATTCCATAATGATGTATATTTTTGTCTTGCTGGATAAAACCTAGTAAAATGCAACAAAAGCATATTAGGGATCCTGTTTAAAGGAAACTAAATTGTTCCCATAAAATTGCAACCAATTTAGGTCAGTGACAAATCTCATAAGTTTGATAAAGCCAAAGACAACACACCTCATGCAGCCTGACTATGTTAGGATGCCTAACAATTTTCATTATGGAGATTTCCCTCTTGATCTGAGAATCAGTTCATAGAAACACAAGCATTGTTACTACACGTGTGGAGGAGAAGAAAATTCAGTTATGTTGCACAGATAGAATCTGATTACAAAACCAACATGCTAGAATAGATCTATATACATCGAAAGTCTTTGAATAGCCCAATATCCACATACCAAACTAACCTGATGTATATCTAATAGCAAAGCCCAATTGACCATGAGTGTGTTAATAAACTTTTACGAGTGTGTTAATGAAAATTTACAACAGAATAACATTTCACAGAGGAGCCAGCAAAAGCCCAATTATGTTTTCTCTGAAGATTTAGACAAAACGGATGATACTCCCACTATAGAAGGTTGTGTGCAGAATATTGTGTGCATCCTCAGTTTGTGAGCAAAGGTAGTTCAAAATGAACTCTTTTCTTTCCCGTCGTGAGAGCTGGGAATCTGGAAAATGATGTTGAAGCCCTGCATTGAAGCTTCGAGTATCTGTGTGGTTTTGTTCTGTTCTCTTACAGATTGTATTCTTTCATAAGTTTGGTTGCTCTGATGTATAGGAGGGTGATTGTAGTCATTAGCTTGCTATAGATATTGTATAGAAAGTAGGATATCTTTTGATAGTAGTAGTTTCTTTTGTAGGTGTTTGTACATATATTACACTCTTAAAAGAGTTTTTTGTAAAATTCTGAAGAAGTGTGTACATATCTTCCAGTTTTGGTTATGAAAATAAAGCTAAAACTTTATGCCAAAAAAATCATAAAGGAAAACATGGTTACCAAAATGATATAAGAACACGAGCAATCTCCCTTCTTTTTCGACATGCAAGTTTCCAAGTTGAATTCCGGGAATAAAGTTAAGGATGCAGTTCACACAATGTTAGTGCAATGCAGTCCATAACCAAAACCCAATCTTTTACTATAAAACATCATCACAGTCATACTACATCTCAAAAGACGCTATGCACTAAACAGTTTGGTGTTAGAATTTACTAGTTTGCGTATGGTTTCGGTGTGCATCATAATTCATCCAAGTGCTTTGACTGATGTTGCAACTTGTAGTGGTGAGGGGCTATTCGGTAGCCAGTCAATTTTTTCCCCATTTGCAAGCTTTTGTTTTGTTACAACAATTGCAATTACATGCAACTGAATCATTTTTTCCCCTGGTTTCAAGTGTTTGTGGACATTGCAGTTGTAACTCCAGTTGCAAATAACCTTCCAACTGCAGCATAACTCAGCCTATGACTCATGCGAAATTTTAACCTAAAATCGAACAAGTTAAATTGCAAGTAAAACCACACAGCTGCAACTCGAGTCACGCCCGCAATCTTGCGGAATTAAAAAAAAATGAATCGAGCATGCAATGAATTATATCGCAATCAATTTCCCCTACTAAACTCAATCCAATCAAATCCACAAGCAGAACCTCTCGAAACCCCGAAGCCGAACCCAACCAAACAGCGAAGAAGGAAGGAGAATTCGACCTGATCAGCCATCATGTGCTTGAGGATAGTGGACTTATCGAGGACTTTCATGGCGACGCTCTCCCCAGTCTCCAAGTTCCTGGCGAACTTGACCTTGGCGAACGCCCCCTCGCCGATCGTACGGCCGACCTCGTACTTGCCCACCTTCTTCATCCCCATTGCCCTAATCTCCCCAATCTCATCTCACGCACCGAAATCGAGATGAGATCGAAACCCTAGGGCGACCGAGGAGCTCGATGGAGGGAGAACAGGATGAAGAGGAGTTTATAAGCCTCGTCCTCGTGATCGTCCCCTTTTGGAGCAGAAAACAGCGACGGCTCAATCTTTTCTCTTTTAACAAAAAATTATTTTATTTTATTTTTTAGTGTTATTTATTTAGTCAGATAGATGGCGACGTGCGGGGGCGCTTTGGGCGCTGAATACGGGTAGGTACTTTCATCTAAAAAAATTCTTCAATCACCTAAAATATGGGACCAATAGGGGGGACAAGTGAGGTGTCTCCCTCCTATTGGATAATGAGTTGGTCATCATTAATGATGGTCAACTCATTATCCAATAAGAAGGGGACACATCACTTGTCCCCTCTATTGATCTCATATTTTGGGTCCCTGTAGCAAAGCTCTTTCATCTATATGCCCCCGCATCAATCTTACTCGATGATTTAGCCCCAAATCTGAATATTCAGTAACTTATCCCTAATTTTTCTTTTTTTTTCTTTTTTGGTGAAAGAAATTTCCCCACGATCTCACAAGTTAACCTAGCTGCCTGCAGGCTTACAGATTAGCTAAGTCAGGGTAAATTATCAAGATGTGAAGATTTTGAGGTTAAATCTGCAACTTGTAAAATGTCGGGGGTTATATGGCAAAAAAAAAAAAAAAAAAAACATGCAGAGGTTCTGGTCAACAGCGTATGCGTATTTATGCTTATCACTATGGTTAATAGCGTCGATTTTTTATTAACGTTTCCTAGTTGGACGTCCTTAGCTGCAATTAAAATACATTGGCGGCTTGTTTTCGTAACGTGAGGCGCTAATCAATCGATGTCATCTTAATTAAGTGGGGACAAGGTGAGGAGGGTAATTAATTAGGGGGAGGGCTTGTATTTTTGGCTATCGTCAACATCAAAATCCGCTTTGATGAAAGGGATATGATTCGGTTACTTTAGAGTCACTCGTTTATTCTACTTTTTTTATATATAGTCAAAAGCAAAAGCCCCGCATAATCGCAAAGTGAGAGAGAGCGAAATTGAAAAGAGTATCGCTATAAAGTTTTAGATCTTCGGCAGAGAGGGGTTCCTAGATTCTCAGTGAGCACTGTCTTGATGAAAATTAGCTCTTACATATTTACACGTATTATTACTATCCTTATTAGTTGTTGTGAACGTACTCGCACTATCATGCGCTATTCCGAGCCATTTTCTAAGCATAAATTACAAATAACCCCCTCCTCTGCATATTCAATAGAACCATCATCCATAGGGGTGCCAAACCGTATCCGTATCCGAGGAAATATCCGTAACCGTATCCGTTAGGATACGAATATGGTTACTCAAATCTATTACCGGTAGGATATGATTGCGGATATGGTTTTGTAGTAAAATATCTGTATCCGTATCCGAAAATATCCGAATACATATTGGTAATACTCTTACGATAGTTTCGATTCTTAGATTATAAATTTGTGGTTAATTTTGATGATCAAGATGTCTAATCTTAGCTTTTCAATAATAATGAACATATTAACGAACTCTTTTTGTATCACATGACTATATTTTTCTAAAAACTATCTAGTTTTCTCATATCATTTTTTGTATCTGCATACATATCCGTTTATATATCCGCATCTATATCCGTAACCGTATCCGATTTTGACGTATGCAAGTACCATCCAATGTTTCTCAGACCGGGTATCAGAGAAGAGCATGATCAGTCGACTTAGGAAATGATTCCGAAAGATACTAAGCATCCTCCAAGCGCACAACTACCAGGAAAAAAACCGAAGGTAACCATTTTCACCAACACAAAATCTATACTATGTAAACAATTTTGTGAATACCATTACATGGATATCATCATATAGAAACAACAGCAAAGAATAGTAGTTTTTGTCTCAATGTTTACGAATGGCAAATGGCATGCCTTCCGATCGGCTTGAAAGATAGGCATCTCTTCTCCTCGCTCCCAAACTTAAAACTCGGAGTTGTAACATCAACATGCGAAGAGCTGATATCAGAGCCAAATGAGAAAACAAGTCTGTTACTGGTGGAACCGAAATGAAAAGATGGGATTTTTCCTTCATCAGCATCAAGTGTCCTGTCAGTAGCTGCAGTTGATGCCATTGTCGGTGTAGGTGGTGCTTCAGAAATTGCAGCTTGACTTGAAGGAGCAGAAAAGGTAAAGCTGAAGCCGTTATTATCATAACTCTTGTGTTTCTGAGCGAAGCTAACTGGTGGCTGGATTGTGGCAGATTCTGTTATGTTTGGTGCCTTGAATGCTGAAAAACTAGAAGCCGTGCCCAGGGAGATGTCTTGTTTGCTGGTTTGAGAAAGTGATGACAGTTGGATCTTGTCATCAGAAGTGCTTATAGATTTCCCCAACAAAACCTATGAACGAGAGAGAATTGTTAGTATGTCGCTATGTGCCAAGTGCTGGCTTCAACCGCAAGTTTAAATTCCATTCATGTCAGTGATGTCACCAATACAAAAGTTTCTCTTAGTGATTGGGGTCAGAAATATCTGTTTAGGATGAGCCTGGAGAGTGTCCCCTGGTTATAAGGTGAAAAGGATGCCTGACTAAATGTTTTCCTCCTTTAATTGATTGAGGAAATAATATAAGATCATTAATAGTAAATTAGAAGTTGTTCCTATTGATAAAATAAGAGTGAATCAATTAATATTGTTTGGCCATGTTTAATGGAACCATTAATTGCACCAATTAGGAACACTAATAAGATTGTAATCAGTGGAAAAAGAAGCATATGATAAAAGTAAACTTATTCGAGGAGATAGCCCTCCATAATTGGATGGAAAAATAGGATTCACGTAGCCAATTCACAAGAAAATGGAACACGAGCTTTGTTGTTAGTTAATTGAAGTGATGCCATCTGTAAACACACTTCACCTTTCAATATTAATGAGGACTAACATCACACTGGTAGCTCAAAGTTCTGTGGGGTAGAGGGACTCCAGGCGTGTGAATGGACAAAAGATTAATGTTTAAGCTAATAGACAGCAAGGACAAAGGTGAGAAGATACAAAACTTTAGGATTTTCAACCAACTGATGTCTAAGAATAAAGAACCAGTCAAGATTCAAGTCTCAAAAACAACAATGATAACAAGGAACAGAACGATCTTGATTTTATGCGATAGTACTCAGAAGAAATTTTCTCTCATGGCTATGCAATATGGAAGATTTAAAATATGGGTTCCTTTAAAAGTGTAGTCATATAAAGAGGTTAATCATACCTTATACTAAACCAAAAGTTGGAAAAAGTTGGACCTTCATACATTTGAAGGATATCATGTGATAATTGTGTTCTGAAAGCACATTCAGGTAACCACTTAGAAAAAGAACACACACAATCATGTAAGACAAAAGTGGTAAACAAGTAGACAACTGCACACATTTACTAGTTCGTCATCCGACTACAATTAATTGCAATACAAAACTAATCTAAAACATGGTAGCCAAAAAGGGTAAACCTAAATTGTAGATAAACTCTCCAGTCAGTTATGGTTTTCTTTCCAGGGTCAGAATGGCGGAGTAACTAGTCAGATTTTACTCAAGACATATTTGATTTCAGGATCCTAAATAACATCATTTTGAACTCTTAGTCACATGGAAGCTTCCTGGATTTTGCACACTATTGGTTTGAATATTTAGTCTTTCCGAGGAGGACAGTACAACATCTAAAGCTGTCCGTTTCTAGAAAGAAAAGTAGTACCTTTTGTGCGTCCTCTTTTTCACGGGAAACCGCATCTCCTCTTATCAAGCAGCCAGCATTCTGCTCATCTGCGACGCTCAAATCAGATGTCTCTCTCTGGCCATCTCTGATGAAACCTTCTGACTTTGGAGGAGTCCCCTTCCTTGCCAGATTTATCTCAAGTAACTTCTCTTTTGGAGAGGGAACAGATCGATCAAGGTGTTGTAAAATTTTTCTCGCCATTAAACTGGACTGTGGATGAACAGGTGTTATATCAGCAGCATATCTGGATGTTTCATCCACCAACCCCTTGTTTGATGAATTGTCTCTTTCACTGGCAGATGAAAAGCCGCTCGAGGCATCAGATTTTGCCAGTAAAGAGAAAGAAGTTGCCAGATTAGACGGGCGAGCTCCTTTTGATGTGGATTCAATATTTCTCTGTTGATTACGATGCATAGGGCTGAGTGGTGCAAAGCCGTCACGCTGAACAGAATTTGCCCTTGGAGACGTCTTCTGCAAAACATAAAACAGAACAGCTGACATGTCAACTGTTTGCACATGATTACACAGCTGGATATATGAAAAAAAAATCAAAACAGAAGTGACCTATCTTCTACCAAAACAGGTTCTCTTTTGTTAAGAACAAATGCATTTAAATCTCAACACATTTACTAACCATGTCCACTACATTAAACTGTTCTATCTTAAGATCCAAAAATGATTAACTACAAAAGCAAAGTACTTGAGGTAAATAATGCAAATCAGTAACATACATCTATGAACATGTTAGTCTTTGACTATAACCGAGTCCAGAAACTCAGCTTCTCATCTCAAGCAGTGTAATTCAATTAGTAAATTGAAAAAAAATATGCATGTATCATGAAGCTCATGCACAAAATACTGCTGTTAGCCTGTATTCAGATGTTACAAAAGAAATTTACTCTTTAAATGATTTATAGCGAGATGAACCTTGTAGAAAGGCTACATTACTAATTCAAATGTCATAAATGGAAGAAATGGTTATGCATATGCATTTGAATGACTTGAGTTTATGACAGGTTCCTAGGGAGATTAAATGATGGGTTTCTGCAGATGAAACTAGATGTTAAATTTAAATGGTGACTAAAAATGTGTGGTATGGTAGTAGCTAGCAAGAGAACCTGACTCATTGCGCGTCATCCTAGGCTTACATCCTGGATAGGGTTCAAGTCATTGCATCTTTGTATTAGTTATGAATGACTTAACAAGCATATTGCATGAGGATCATGTGTATGTTGTTGTCTAATGATGTTTATTTGTTTATGAGATTAACGAGAGAGGTTTTCAAGAAGGAATGAGATTAAAGAATATACACAATCTAAAAGAACAGCATCATGACAAAATGCTTGAAATGTAACTTAAGCAAAACAGACTATTCAACATAGTTGTTCAGTCATAGCTAAGTACAATCTCCAATTATGTCCTAGAGATATTGCCTTAAATTAAATACAAATGACACATACACATGAGAATAACAACGATATCAGCGAATGAGTTCTTTCCCAGGGATATTGCCTTAAAATAAAATGCAAATGCTTATGAGAAAGTTCAAACCAATGCATTGCAATAAGAACAGAAAACTGCTCTGATTAGTCTTTCCAAAGCAAATGTATCAATAGTACCATGTTACGTCCAAAAAAATGGTTACGTCTCTCAGAATTAATTTGGAACTGAAAAGCATGACAAAGAAGAAATGTTATAAAATTCATGCAAGTATGCATTGACATATGGAATTTATTGTAAGACTGTGTAGGTCAACCTTGGAAGTAGATTTTGAGAATAGAGAACGAGAATAAGGGGTACGAGGATGATGTTCAACACTGCCTCTTTGAGGAGTAACATAGCCATGATCACTCTGCACAATTGCACCTGGCCAGCATTTGGGTGACTTAGCAGCAGGCGTTAAGGATAGCCTAGATGCAGATGCAACATTATCAACGTAGAAGGAATTTTTTTCACTTTTCAATCTCCCAGATGCTGCTTTTTGGGCCTCCATGTAAGCTTTTGCAATTTCAATTGGCGAAGAGCTGACATCATTTGCCTAAAATATGAAAACAAACTATAAAGCCTGTGTAAGAAATCCTGATCATTAAACTGATCATTCAACAAGAACACTGAACATCGGACAAGATAAAAACAACAAAATCCTAGAAAATACAATAAAAATAAGGCTTTCACCCAAGATTTCAGGAACCTCCTATAATCAAAATGAAATACATACTAAAGAACATTGCAAGATCAATGTCTACTTACTGTAAATTGGGAATGTTCAGAAGGCTTCCACATCATCCTAAAGTCAGATGGCACATCATGTTCCACTTTCGACGATTTTCTTAAATCTCTCTGACTCAGTATAACTTCTGAAGCTTCCAATTTTAATTCTCTAGCACGTCCATTGTTATCAGAAAGATCAGTTGTTCTTGATCGCAGTAACTCTATTAAATGGTCCGTTTCATCTCTGCGCACCCGAGTATCAGATTGTAATAAAGAGCCTTGTATGCAAAGTGACAGAAAAACTACCAAGTAGAAAGCAAAGATGATTTGATTACGTAAACTCCTAACACAACCTTAACATGCTCATTGCAACCTTATAAACTCAATATATTTGATGAACATCATATGCAAAAGTAAATCCAAAATCTAAGTAGCAAGGTTTCGGGTTCTATTCTTTAGATGCATATGCATGAATGCAGGAAAATACATGAATTTACAGGTGTGCTCGTGCAGGTATAAATCTTTGTGTGCATGCCTGTACGTCCACATGCATGCATGGGTTTTGTGTGTGTGTGTCTGTTAAGAGCTAAAGAAATTTCACTTGCCTTGATAACTTCTTATGTTGCAGTTGTTGCTCAATTTCAGTAATCCCATGGTCACTACATGTATTCTCTACATAGCCGTCGCCTTTGGAATCGACTTTTTTCTGTGTTATTTTAGCAGCAACATCTGATTGCTTTGGTTTAAAAGCCTGATTCTGCAATAGAAAAGTTACAGCAAACAAATTGGAAAGCACCATTGCTAGATTTTTCTTAACGCAACGAAGATTCACAAAATACTTGTTGCATAATGATAGACTGATAGAAGGTGGTCTTCAATTCATGAAGAAAGGAAAAAAGACTATCCAATGGGGTACTTAGTTATACAAGCTCAACATCCTTGGAGATGAACTTAAGCTGGTCAGCTCTGACGCAATTCCTTTGGCTCAAGAAATTGACTCTAAAGAAAACATGCTTTAATTAAATTTTTTATGCATGGTACACAAACTTCCTCTTTGCAATAAAGAAAAGCAACATTGTAAAAGTTATTCAGCAGTTGGCCTCTTCAAATCGGTTATATGCCCCTATAGCTATCAAGCAATTATGTCTCCAGTTACTGTTAAAGCAGCTTCATAAACATTAGTGAAGGAATAAACGCATATAGACATGTATCATAACACATAATCAACAGAGAGGTTTCTTCTGATTCATTAACCAAATATTCATCATAAATAAAACTGTCGTCCTGATCCCAATTGAACAAACATTCACCTCTATCTCCCTCTCATGTCTTCCTTTCTCTC